ACTTAATTTTATTTCTGAGATATGCATAGCTACAGAATATGAATTAGTTGGTCAATCAACGCTATCGACACATTTAGAAACCACTACTAAGATCCGCTTATCATAGACCATGTTTCTGGGTAAATTACGTGTATCATTCTCCATTACTACGGAAAAGCACAGATCCCTAAGGTCTTTCCCTAAGGTTATTTTACTATTTCAGTCGGTGAACATTCTAGAAGAGGACAGGTGATATACATTGTTGTTTCTTCTTATTCTGTTAACCGATGGTATGGAAATACCTGGTTGTCCATGAAGTAAGCGATTAAGTCTCGTGAGACAGCTACTCTTGCTTGATTTTCACCAAGAGGACGCTGAAAGTAACTCAGTTAATGAAAAGTCCTAGAGACCTCTATCGGAAACGAGAATTCCTTGTAGATAGTCTTAGGCTCCAAATCTAGCTTTGTGTCATGTACAATAAACCTCACCAATTTGACGAGGAGGCGGAAAAATCTAAGTGAATTGTTAAACGTGTGTTGTGTTGATATTCGATGCTTGAAGAAGTGGAAACTCATACTAATTTGTTTTTTCTGGTGATAATAACCAGGAACCCGCTAAAGTCTTGTAAGAAACGTTTTTTTTCAATCTGTCTATGCATACACTTTATATTATCCCTAATTTATTGCATACTCCAGAACTTATGAAGGAAGAACAGTTTCATTATTACTTTGGGACGAAACGCCAGAGTTTAATCTTATTTTTCAAGGCTCTGGCGGTAATCTGTACTTTTAAAGAAAAATAAATTAACAATTTTTGCTAGTCTGATGGTATCAGGCGTGAAAAGTTGTTTCAGCAGGTGTGCTGCTAAGAGATTGGTAAAAAGTCTCTGATCTTGGAAGAGAAGCAGGTTCAAAACGTCCAAAGTCTACACGAGGGAAGCAGCTTTCAGACTTAGGACGAGGAATAGTGCTCTTTAGAGCGGCAGCGATGGTATGTTCATTCTTGTCGCCGGACACCTCACTACTCGAGGACTGATGGGACAGAAGTATAGCGTTCACTGTGTTCAAGTCACTCTGCAAATCTTCCCTCTGACTTACGATATTTGGGTTTTTACCAATCTTATTCAGCCTTTCAGCTGCAATAGATTCCATTGTTCTTCGCATCAGTGGATAGATATTCAAAACGGCGTTAAAGTGCTCCACAGAGAGAGAGAACAGGTTACAGTAGGTTTCTGCTCGGACGCTGGCTACTCTTCGGGCATTGGTGAGTAAACATATTTCTATAAACAAGTCCAAAAATACCGGAAATAAATTTTCTATATTATTTTACAACTAAAAAACGTCATTGTTAGTAAACATTATACCTAACAATTTCTTTTAACATATTGTATTCTATATGTTATTGCATCATATTTATATATAACTTTAGAGAATGCATTTTAAAGAAACTACATCAACTACTTGTCGCATACCGGATGAAAGATAAATTACAGTGTGAATATTTTACCATTAATATTTTTAGGAATTGTTTTATGTATTTACACAAGTTAAGGGTGTTGAACTCACAATAGCAACGTAAGTATAATGATGTAGCTCTGAGAATGTACGTGCTAAGTACACACTGCAACGTGCCAGTATCGAGTAATTCTCCATTAGTTTCTACTGATTTTATTTTATACGTTTATAGTTAGATCTATTTTTTTTCTTCACGTTGTACGAACAAACAAAACTCTGCAACCGATACTTCAGCTTCTAATACCTATATCCTAACCCAGATGTAGGGAATGCTTGCTTTCTTAAACTTTTTCTTTCTGATTAATCCTTTGTTAACTTCAAAGAGGAATAAAAGAAAAAATTAAGAAACATTTAACATAATATAGCTTGTAGCGTATTCGTGCTAGTTGTAGTTATTACTATTATCGCTAGATGTCAGCCTAGTTGGCTGCGTAAATAAAGTAGTATATGGTATTTCTTCTGATTATTTATACAAATATTAACTACTCGTGTCATACGCCAAAATTATAATACCCTAATGCTCAGAATAAAGTAAATGATAAGTTCAATACATGTAACGTACACACACGCATACATAGCATATAAATATGTGTGTTATTATAGATTGTTTGTTTTAAATTTCGCGCAAAGCTACACGAGGGTTATCTGCGCTAGCCGTCCCTAATTTAGCAGTGAAAGACTAGAGGGAAGGCAGCTAGTCATCACCACCCATCGCCAACTCTTGGGCTACTCTTTCACCAACGAATAGTAGGATTGACCGTCACATTATAACGCCCCCACGGCTGAAAGGGCGAGCATGTTCAGTGGGACGGGGATTCGAACCCACGACCCGCAGATTGCGAGTCGAGCGCCTTAACCACCTGGCCATGCCGGGCCCTATTATTATATAATGAATGTCATACATCCGTACTTATATATGCAACTTTAATTATTAGTTGTAGTTATTACTATTATCGATAGATGTCAGCCTACCCAAAAAAATACCTTGTTATTAGCTCTCATGCCCAAGCATATAACTACAGCGTGTGATATTCTGCATTAAAAACGTGTATATACTTGCTAGACAGGTATGTAAATGAGTCAGTTAATATTCAAGGTTTGGGATATCGAATTTCTCTTATGTTATTTTAGTCGTTTAGGAAATATCGTGTTGTATATTTGTGACACCATGATCATTTCCAGGATATCATTGTATAAATATTTCATACTTCGATCGTTCTAGGAATGCATATGTTCAATATTTTAATAATTTGATTGCTTTGACGATAACATTTATGTGTTTTGTGCAATCTTGATTGTTTAGAATATTCCCTTGATTTAGCTTTCATATTTTGACTTTTTAGGGTTATTTTAGTGTACTTTTACAATGCTTTGATTGTTTTTTGAAGATAACCTAAGATACCTAGCGCACTTCTTTGCCATCTTGGTAGTTGTTGTTTGATATCTATATTGATCTTGGAACACGCTAGTGTATTTCTGTGCTACCTTGATACTTTTAGTGATACATTAGTATATTTCTATGACACATTAATTCTTTTGGTGACACCTTGATTCTTTGGGCTATAACGTTGTGTATTTCTGTGATACTTTGTTCTATTTATGAAATATCATTATTCTTGTGGGTTACATATTAGAGAACAACTGTCATCCAGCTTTTAAAGTTTCATTAAAATATACATTTCTGGTATTTTTTTTTACTATATAAAAGTTTCATTTTAGGCACTGGAGAAGTTTATAATCATGGTTTGTACTGTTTCGCTTGAGATAATCTGCACGTCATGGAATGTACTCAACTTATTGACAGGATAATTATATGAAAAGCTTCGCAGTTCAGCGAGTCATATCTCACAAACGGAATGACACAGGAAGATGAAATTGAATAGGGGTGTTTAAGGTATCGTGCACATTCAAATGCCACAGTTGTCACATGTTCCAATAAGGGACACTACTACGACCTAATGTCTGATAAATAACAGTAAATATTCAAAATGTGCTCCCTCAGCAACCATCTAACATTACAGAAACAAGGCACTTCTCATGTGGTATGCTGACCACTTCCCGCACAATTGTATCATTGTAATCTGGAATTGTACGAGGTTTCCCATGGTGGTACACATGTAACTTCAAGTACTCTCACAACCAGAAATCAGCTGGTTTTAGGTCCAGTGAACGAAGTGGCCATTCACAAGGAAAATGACATGAAATGACTCTGTCCTGAAAGTGTTTCCTCAAGACATGTTTCATATGGTTACTAATATGCGGAGGGACACTATCCTGCTCGAAACCGTAGTGTCTACCATTTCCTTCCAGCAGCATGGGAATCACATTGGTTATGAACATTGAAGGGTACAATGTAGCATTGACTGTGTAGGCTTGCGGTCCATTTAGTTATAGTTCTTCAAAAAAGTAGAGCCCGATAACAAAGTAAGCTGTGAAACTCCACCATACTGTCACCTTATCATCCTAGAGATGTGTAGGAAATGTTATGTGTGGATTAGATTTAGACCAGATAATGCAATTGGGCGTGTTGACACTTCTACAAATGGAGAAATATACTTCATTAGTCCATAAGATATTGATAGGCTATTGGTAATCGACATTCAGTCTTGATCAAGAATTGCAACACAAAATCAACACGTCATATTAAATCCAACTCCTTCAATCCTTGAACAGAATGCAGGTTCTAAGGAAATATTTGCAAAGTTGGCCAAAGAGCACTTAAAATTGGCAAATTCAGACACAGAGCGACGTAAAGTGTACTACTGCACCCACGTGCACTTGTGCTGGTTTGTTCTGCTACGACATGGCTGATCTCAGCAACAGTTTCAGTAGGTTTCGATAGATTGGCTGTACGTGGCATATCACAAGTGTAACCAGTCTCCTCAACACTAGAAAAATGTCTTCTACATATGTTATATGCACTCTCCGGTATTCAATGAAATTCGTCTCGGCATTGCATCCTTTGAGGTAATAACATTTCATTATTTCACCTCTCTACACACTTATCAGTTTCATGTTGGTAGTATAAGTTGCACTGCGATCAATAGGTCTATTTATACCCTAGGGAAATATGCAAAAAAACAACAACAACAACAACAGTGGCCTAGCAGCACCATTTAGCAACTGCAAAATTTGCATCCACAGGATACCTTTAACATCCTTGTGCAACCTCACTTTCCTATACCATACCGTTTGTGAGATATGACGTTCTGAACCTAGAAAGTTTCTATACAATTACCCTGTATAATGTTCTGCTGTACATTACTAACAATACTATCTGTTGTTGAATACATTTAACATACCATCAAAACAATATACATCATACAAATTTGTGACTTACCTACATAATACAATCTCTCAAATTTATAACTTGCCTCCAAAATACAATCCCCCAAACAGATTTATAGTTTACTTCCAAAGTAAGATCCGCCATAGAATATTTATAATTTACCTCAAAATATCGATTTGTGAGTCACGCTAGTAACTTTTTTTCCAAATACAGTCCACCGTCAAATATTTGTAACTTACTTCCAAAATACAATCTGTAAGACGGACTATTAATCTCTTTTTCAACTCAAATACTTGTAATTTACCTCCAAGATATGAACATTGAGATCGACTAGTAACTATATTCTAAAATACGATTTGTTAGACGAATTTGAAACTTATCCTCAAAATACGATCTGTGAGTTAGGCTAACTTTATTCCAAAATACAATTAATTTTATATACTTTTTATTTACCTCAAAAAGTACGATTATTGAGAGAGACTAGGAACTTTTTTTCCAAAATATATTCAACATCAAATACCTTTGACTTACCTCCAAAATACGATCCGTCAGACAGACTTGTGGCAATTATACCGTTTGACATGATAATATCTACTATTCCTTCCTGAATAAAATACATCTTTGTCCCAAGTGTCCCTTCTTTAATTATGATATCTCCCGGTTGGAAGACTTCGTATTCAAGGTTAGTAACGACGTCGTTAACAAAATTTGAGTCAGCGTTTGCAAAGAAGGGAACTGACGCAACAAGTGAGCGACAGTTGAAATTGATAACGTCCTGAAAGAATCATCCACAATTGTTTAATTACCACTAAACTGGGGGTTACATATCTATGAAACACTTTCTAAGCTTTATATTCCAATCACTGAGAGTATTATTCATTCGAACAATTTACACACAAATAAATATAGATCGATAGATATCAATTTTGATAAAAAGAGACTTAGCTTGGAATTTGTGATTTTTATATAACATACAGTAAGTGCATATTGTCGTTCGCAGTTTTATTCTTAATTATTAATATTTACACTTTTTTTTCTTATAACGTGGAAATAATTAATAAACAACAGCAACTTGAACTTTATCATTTAGTTATTCTGTAAACTAATATAATATAAAAATGTGCTTATATTTAAAACAAAACAACTACACAATTTCATAGTTAGGATTCCTGAATATGAAGAGATATTAACGGTGACCTAATTTTAGAATGGAACAGCACATCACTGCAGGCTTGCAAGTGAGAACACGATTATAAAAACCATCGAACCTTTATTATCGTCACAATATAGGAACGCTCCTCAACTCATTAAGTGGCCATTAAACCTACTTCGAAGGGACTTAAATTGATTTATCAACTCAATGACAGTTTCAAAGAACTTTCTGAGAAGCGATGATAATGTTTACAACGGCCAACTAATGTTTTTAAGATGCAAGTTGGTAGATATACGTAATCTAGAGGTTACACAAACAAAGAGTAAATAATACGGATACGATGACACTTATAAAGAAACTGAAAATGGTAAAATACGTCATTATGATGATAGCTTACAATCTTCGTTTATTAACATTGTTTTGTACAAATTACACACATACACGCTTGTTTGTTTTTGAGTTTCGCGCAAAGCTACACGAGGGCTATCTGTACTAGCCATCCCTAATTTAGCAGTGTAAGACTAGAGGGAAGGCAGGTAGTCATCACCACCCACCGCCAGCTCTTGGGCTACTCTTTTACCAACGAATAGTGGGATTGACCGTCACATTATAACGCCCCCACGGCTAAAATGGCGAGCATGTTTGGTGTGACGGGGATTCGAACCCGCGACCCTCAGATTGCGAGTCGAGTGCCGGGCCCACATACACGCACTGAAAAATGAAGTTTAGAACAAAATAGAAAAATAACAAAAAACAGTCGGTTTTGTTTTTAAAAGAAGAAAAACAATACCTAGTCTGATTATTTTCAAATAACATCGTGACATTGTTGTATATATCTATGTGAAATTTAAATATAATATATATACTAATTTTTTAAAGATTTAACACTACCTTTTTTTATAGATAATTCTTTTTTTTCTCATAAAAAACAACAAATCTCAGTTTATTTATTCATTTATGTGTTTTTTATTTCAAACCTAACAATAAAAGAATATACATGTGTAAGACATACAATAAAAAAAAACAATATTAAGAAATTATCATCGTTACATATTTTTTACTATTAATTATTATTACTTTTTAACGAATAAAAGTAAAGTTCGTGTAGTCAGAGAATGCAACCTTTAAAACATCGGTTTTATGACTTGATTAAAGGTCAGGAGGCTTACTTATATAGACCATAGAGTATTGTTATAAGAGGTTTTAGTTTTGTTTTTATTGCATATTACCAGTTTTATTGTTAAAGACTGTAAGATTTTATTATAAGAATTTTGAAAAAGTTAAGAGCAGGAACAAACCAAATTTCTTCCTTAAGATGAAGACAATATTTTATATTTGCTAAAGAAATTAATACAATAAGCATTTCGTAAAACAATTAAGTGATGATGTTAGTTGTGATTTTTGTCTTACCTCCCTTAACTTTTCAGAAAGTTCTCCTAAGATGGCGTCCTCGTCAAAGTACTTGCCCTGGTAGCGATGCTCAAAGTAATCTGTGATTCTGTGACGAAGGTCACGTGGTAGCTTACGATAGGCCATGTATTCTTCAACTTGTTTCAACTGTAAAGGAAACGTGAAATGAAAACAGGGAATCATAGAGGCTGTATGGTGTAAGTCAATGGGAATGATTTATTGACCAGTTTGTATATCAAAATTATAATTTCTTGTTCTAAATTTTGGTTGTTCGAGAAGCGTGTAGTAGTAAAACATTAAGAACGCACACTTGCATCTGAGTCTTAAATTTGCCTTATAAAATCACTGAAAGTATAAAAATAATATAATTAAAAAATATAATTTTTGAATCTTTAGTAGTTTTAAGACAAATTACATCAATTACTTTTGAAGAAAAAAAAACACGGATAAACAACTTCCTATTGGCTCAGCGGGAAGTATAAAGGCTTATAAGGTTAAAAACCAAGTTTCGATACCCGTGGTGGGCACAGCACAGACAGCCCGTTGTGTAGTTTTGTCCTTAAAAAGCAAAAAAACAGCAATAAGTAAAATTGGCAAATAATAGTACTTGTTACTTATTAAATGTTATATAAGATATTTAAACTTCTTGGATAAATGTGTGACTTATAATCACGTATATAGGTTTTTTTCTTGTTTTTTTTCCACTGTTAGTTAGCATATGTAATCCGGTTTATTCGTTGATCTGGTTCTGGGAAACGTTTTGAAAATTAAGGCCGAAATCATCGTAACCACCAATGATCCTCAACTAATGAATTAACGTAATCTATGCACAATTCAATTTAGATCCTGTGTTTGATTAACACACTTGAACCGTAGCCTATCTGTTACAGTTCTCGGACTATGAATACAAAAGTCCTTGATTCGCATCTCCTTGCTGTAAAACGCATCCCGCAGTTTGGTTCCGCGGGTGCACTATAAGTGTGACTGTCATTTGATTAACACACTTGAACCGTAGCCTATCTGTTACAGTTCTCGGACTATGAATACAAAAGTCCTTGATTCGCATCTCCTTGCCGTAAAACGCATCCCGCAGTTGGGTTCCGCGGGTGCACTATAAGTGTGACTGTCAAATCCCACTATTCGGAGAGACAACAAGAATTATCGATGGATGCTAGTTTATTTCCCATGTGTAATTTTTTGTACAAAAATTCCGAAACTAACTTTTCAACTGCCTATCATATACCAAACCTACAACTGGATATATATCTTCAAATATCTTCACTCGTCTAAATTTTACTTGATTTGCAGCGATACTTGACCTTTCATTAATAATAGTTGTTGTTCTTCTATACTGCAATTTTTCAAGTGAAAATCAAAACCAGCTATTATGAAGCATGGATATGTTAGGGAAAATTTAGTTTATGCAAAGTTAACATTGTCCTAACTTTCAGCTTCTGTCATATAAAGCAAACGAAATACAATCAAGTGATATAGATACAACTGTTTAATCGAAATAAGACAGATGTTTAACGATAAAACCCCTACTTCTTCTACATATATAGTTCGTAGTTCGTTTGTATTATTTAACTATTCCAAACCACATAACTAAATTATTTTATCACTATAATTAACTATTCATTGTTAACGTATTAGAAGTTACTCGGAGGTCTAATGTACGTCGCTTTTATCGTTCACATCAGTTTTTAATGTATGACAGCTGTCAACAAACAAACAAAGATAAAGGATTTTGTAGATGGTTCCTGGATAAATAGATCTGTAAATAATATTATTAGGGTGAACAAACTGAAAGTGGTTAACAAAAAGGAATAAAACTAAACATAACGAGTATTTTCAAAGCGCTTAGAGTATTAATAGTACATTCACTCACATTAAATGGTACATTACTTATAGGGTTGTGTTGATGACAATCTTAATAAGTGTGGAAGCTTGTTGTCTTGCAACATGTAGGTCACCTTCTACAGTAGCATCTAAAGGCGTTCTTCCTATTCTTCACAAATAAAACGAAACTGCCGCCCGATTTACTTTAAATATCTTTGTACTTAGTCAATTCAAAATATTTAATTTTAAAAATGAAATAACGACGACGATTGGAAAGAATATATATATATCATCTTTTATTAAGGTGTGAACTTTTAACTCTAAAACCTGGATGATTTAATTTGGGATAATTGAAATGCACTGTTGTTTAAGGCTCTATTAACTATAAAATGTTTTCTGGATAGAAAGTAAAAGTGCATCGAAAACACATCCAAACGAATCCTACAACGCACATTTGTTAAGAAGCTTTCAAAAAAGATTATTAACTGTCTTCAGACCGGATTGCGATTAATGTTTGAGTAGTAAGTGAGATCAATTATTTCCTCCCGAATTTCAACATGGTTACTTACAAGAACAATGCTTGATTTTGACTTCATTTCCTCCCGAAGGTCAACATGGTTACTTTCAAGAACCATACTTGATTTTGACTTGATTTCCTCCCGAATTTCAGCATGGTTACTTTCAAGAACAATACTTGATTTTTGACTTCATTTCCTCCCACATTTCAACATGGTTACTTACAAGAACCATACTTGATTTTGACTTCATTTCCTCCCGAATTTCAACATGGTTACTTTCAAGAACAATACTTGATTTTGACTTCAGAAACGTATCGTAATGTTATAATGACGATATTCTGTTTATAGTGTTTTTTATATAAAAAACATAAAAACTAGGACTGTAGATACATGATATAGCATGTAAAAAAAAACAATAATATCCTAAACAGAAAATACGGTTATCTTCGTTAGACTGTAACGTTAAATTTCTTCTTGAGACACTAGAACATGAAAATGACCTACACGTGCTGCATTATGTGAGGCGACTTTAAATATAAAATATATTATTAAAATAATCATTTATTTAAAGTTTTCAAGGTAAAACTACATATTTAACATTCACATCACAGTTATTCTTAAAGTTATCTATATTTTGAGTTCCTATTTCTCACCTTTAGATTTTTTAATTACGTTAGTTCTGTTTTTTCTATAAAGTATAACAATGGTTCAAACTTTATACTCTCTTAGCATATAAAAAAAGGGCAGTGATGAACTTAATGAAAACAACGAAACAATTAGGTTAATATTCGTATGGAAATGTTCAAGACAAAGTGGAAATGTTTTCACAGATAGATTTTTCTGTAAAATATATGTATGAGTTTAAGCTTATCATTTGCATCAAGAAGAGCTGAAAATTTGTGTTCAGCTTATGTTTAAAGATAGGTATGTGAAAGGTTTTATATGACTGTACTTGTTTTTATCACATTTTTAAACAATCTTCCTTAGTATTGTTCTCCATCTCGTTGGCTTCTGCTTCACGTGGGGGAGAACAATACTAAGGAAGGAGCAGTGTTATGACAGGGGAGGTTACGTGACGCTGATAACACGTGATAAGTGTCTAGAAGGATCATGACTGTTCCTGGCAACTCTAGTGTTTGCCAGATGCCCTCTATTTTTGTATATAAGCTCGGCAAATAAAGCGGAGATGAAGAGTGACGGCATATATAATTGTAGATTGAAAAACAGCAGAGCATGAAACCTTCTAGAAACTCATGACGTGTTACCAGCGTCACGTGACTACCGCTGTCGTAACAATAAGTAACACCAAGTGTATCACGTGCAATGAGGAATGTCCACTATCTTACTCATAAATTTTAAGATTAGAGACGTGGTTTCTATGTAGGCAGCTTACCTTAATCAGAAGCTATTGATAAATTACATCCAGAAAGGGCTTTCCCGACCTTATGCATAACAGAAGCTGTAAATCTTTCTCTGAGTGTCAATGAAACAGGAACCTTACGCTTTTTGTCACGTGGATATTGAAGTAAAGACAACTAGTCTCACAGCGTGCTGTACAGCTTCACACGATATTTATTGTATTCCCTGATACTTCCAGTTATCACGGTTGAATATTTGGCATTTAACAGACCATATAAGCAAAGTCACTTAATCGGGAAGACATCTCAGTGAGTAGCAGATACATCCTGTTTCATAACAAGCATGTCCGTAATCCGCTACGGATCACTATAATCATGATGTCTGGCTTTAAAGGTCTATTCCTAATAACATGATATCAGGCTCGTACGCAATATATGACTGGTATTGCGATTTTTGTTCAGATCTAATGAAATACTTTGCATCTATTTTGTAGATCTAGGCTTACAATCACCAGTCAACCTCTTTTCTACCCATTAATAGATATGACAGTTTATTTAATAACAACTCCCCTAACCATTAATAAAAAAGAACAGTTCCTTTATTAACCTTATTTTGTATCGATAAGTAATTAAGATAATTTTTTTACTAACCTCTTTTATACCTGTTAATAAAAATGAGAGCTTATTTATTAATATATTTTCTTTAACCACTCACAAAGAAGAACAGTTAATTTAACAACCCTTTCTTTACCTTTGAATAGCCCCCTGATGGCTAATCAGTAAATCTGGAGGCTTATAAGGTTAAAAATTGGGTTTTTGATACGCGCGGAGGACACAGCCTAGATAGCTCATTTGATCTCAATAACAAACAACTACACATTAATAAGTTTGTTTGTTTGTTTTTAATTTCGCGCAAAGCTACACGAGGGCTATCTGCGCTAGCCGTCCCTAATTTAGCAGTGTAAGACTAAAGGGAAGGCAGCTAGTCATCACCACCCAACGCCAACTCTTGGGCTACTCTTTTACCAACGAATAGTGGGATTGACCGTCACATTATAACGCCCCCACGGCTGAAAGGGCGAGCATGTTTGGTGGGACGGGGATTCCAACCCACGACCCGCCAGGCTCCAAAATCTAACAAAACAAATAGTTTAGTTTCTTTACTAACCTTTTCTCTTCCCACCAATAAGTAGGACAGTTTCTTTACTAACCTTTTCTCTGCCCACTAATAAGTAGGAGAGTTTCTTTACTAACCTTTTCTCTTCCCACCAATAAGTAGGACAGTTTCTTTACTAACCTTTTCTCTGCCCACTAATAAGTAGGAGAGTTTCTTTACTAACCTTTTCTCTTCCCACCAATAAGTAGG